ACAGGTATTTTAGTATGGTATTATTGTTCAACCTGTTAGCAACCATTAGAAGTACATCCGAAAAAAAAAAACTAGCAAATAGAGTATGTCACTCACTTTTTTTTTCTTCTTTTCCTCTTTATTCTCCTCAGCTGTTGAAAGCATTCAATCTTCTGTATTTTTTTACTTGTCACTACCGCATCAGAAATGTGGATTAAGAGAACTTTTTGGTTGTGAGGTGAAGGCGGAAACGTGGTGGTGACGTTGTTAAATTTCATATCTGTGTAAGTTCTCGTTCAGAAAATGTTACGAACCCATTTTTTTCTAAGCTTAACGTTACACTTAAGAAATAATTTACTAGGACTAACATAGCGTGGATAGTTTTTTTTGTGTGTTTGGTTGCTTGTTCAGTAGGTGGTTCAAATTCTGATAAGAAACATGTTTTGTGAAACAGATAATTTTAAGTAATTTTATGCATTAGCCTTGTAGTTGATTAATTAACGGGCAAGAAGAAAAAGAAAATTGAATGGAAAGCAAGAAACAGTAAAGGATAAAAAAATTTCTGCTAAAAAAATGCTTTTTTACTTAATTAGTTGTCGGATATTGATTAAGTGTTGATGAAACCATCTACTTTAGTTGTGCATTCACATCTTGTCTGTAAGAATGTCTGTCGGTTAAATACTGATGCTGAGATGTTTTGTTGATCTTAAGATATCGAATCTGTTTAGTCTTTCTTATTTTATTTTATTTGTATTGATCTCCTGGTACCCTAATGTTGCTATTCTCTTAGAACCACACTGTATGCTTACCAATTATCTTTATAACAAATCTTTAAGCTTTCCTTTGTAGTATTTTCGTTATATTCACCAATACTTTAGTGGTGTAAATAAAATCAAAAAGTAGAAATAGATATCAATTCAATAAATTTTATTATTTCATTTTATTTTGTTTTTAAATCTTTTTTTTTTTACACGTCAGGAAATCGATGTACAATAAAAGCCTTTATGACAATTGCTCATAAATGTAATACTCATTCAATTCTCTATATAGACTGCTATGCAACGGGTTTAACAGCAATATTTTTACATTATACGCTAACCAACATGACGGATTTATGAAGCTTGATCTTTTGTTGGTCTCAGTAGCTGTGTCGCTAATAATCTTAATTTTAACTGTACATCCTGAATCAGGCTGATTTAGAAAAACTAGAAAGAAAAACGGATGAATGCTTCATTCCATCGAAAAAAAAAGAGCAGAATGAGCAGGTGCCCCCAAATTGCATTTTCTTTTTCTTCAGTTTTCTTCACTAAAAATGATTACGGCAAATTGAACTTTATTCCTTTAATATGTATGGACTGGTAAGGACAAAAGATTAAAGAGGAAGTTTATTTTAAAAAAAGACAATTCAAATTGTAATGAAACAGCTAAGGTAATATAAGGTTCAAAAAAAAAATAAGAGACGTATCTAGCTTTTCAAAAAAGAGAATCAGTCGCTGATAATGCCAAAGTAAATTCTGAAAGAAATTCTTAAAGAAAAGACAACATCAATTTCTACCATACCAAAACGTCACTCTCTGTTCCTCTTTAATTTGACCTCATATATACTGTTCACCGCTTGAGTAACAAGGTACATACTCCCCTGTACTCAAAGCGCCCGGAGCATCATCTTTTTTATAGTCTCCAATTAAAAAGTAGAAACTCTAAGTTTGAGCGTCAACTATCATTTAATTTCTTTCCAATTATCTGGTGCTAGGTACCTCAATCATTGCAGT